TTAAGTAATGTCCCATGGCCTTTTTTGTAAGCATAACATCTTTAACAGTACCAAATAGTAATGACGGTTGTGGTCCACGAACGCCGCGTGAACTCCAAAAATCATAGGTTGATGTAAAATAATAATAAAGAACAATGAGTGCGACTGCAATGCCGCACAGTATTTCGAAAGGATCCATTGTTCGTCAATTGTTGATCGGTTATTAGAACTAATTTTTCCTAAAAAAGAAAATAAAATTCCGTTAAATATAAATTGATAAACTAAGAAGCTGAACAAGATTTAAAGAAGATATATTTTTAATGAAATAGAAATTTAAAAACTATTGCTCGTACATGTATGATGTTTAAGTTTATTCTATCATAATATTAAATTATCTTTTATTTAAAATTAATGATAAAACTTCATAATGAATTAAATTAGATGGTCCTGTATATATCAATGCGCCTATGTTTTATGTTAATTACTTTGCTCAATTAGAATTTACAAAACAAAAATTTATTAAACTGTAAAAGCTAATTAACAATAATGCTCAATGTGACAAAATTTAGAGATATGTCATTACTTAATCTGTTCTACATATTTAAACCATGATTTTTATAACATAACTGTTTAACAGATATATCAAATGCTTTTTCTATGTTTAAAATGACTATTTGATCTAAATTCGCGTACAAATATCACTGTAACGTACCTAAATACTACAGGAAAGTGATCAGTAATTTCGCTGCAACGCTTCTTCACGCTTCTATCAACTTACACGGACGCTATCAGAAATAATACTGGCTACTCTGTAGTTGGCAGCTGAGTTAAATTTTAAGCATCATTGTAGATGTGAGTAAATACATGTGTCACGATGAATTCTTTAAATCGTGGTATCTGTGCTTCTTGCATTTATCAGAACCATGATAAAAAAAAATTCATTAGATAGCTTCTTATGTTCTTATGTAGATTAGTTCACGTATAGATATAATCACGTATGTACCAGTAAACGCTACTATGCAGTTCGCGATACATGTTTATTTGGAAAACAACATTTCCGTAGTTAAACAATTATTTTTGATTAACTTGGTTCAACTTGTTTTAATTTATTTACATGTAGTTATAAGATATATAAATATTAATAATTTATTTAAAATTAATATGTTAAATTAAAAAGTTATTAATTTTACATTTCTTTCTGATGTAATCATTTATTTACATCTGGATAAGAATGTTAAAAATATAATTATGAATTAATTAAAAGAATAGATTTTACTTGAAGAATAAGGAAAAAAATAAAGCCGTTGCAATAATTAGACCTTCCTTTCTGATTATTATGGAAAAATTGATATAGACGCGGTCAAAGTAGCACTTCCGATTTGGTCCTTTATCATAAAAGGCAACTAAAAGAAACATAATCTTCCTGGTTCGGAGTTGAATGTACGGCTTACAACTATGGATAGCAAATCATGTGTCACAGAGCAACGTACAAACTTAAAAGATAGTATAAAAAACTTGGAAAATAGTCATAAAACTTTGGTAAAAGGTGGAAACATGTAAGTTCATAATTCAGTTTATTATATATAAAAAATCGTGGATCATGTTACTGACTGCCACAAAATAATATTTTAATTTTTGAAAAAAAGATTGATTTTTCCTACAATGGAATAGTATGAAAGTTTAAGTTTGGGTCTAAAGAATGCCA